CTTTAATTTTTTTTCAGCTGGGAAATGCAATATTTCTTAGTAGAGCAATTTTACATAACACATTTTATAAGGAAATGAGACAAACAAGCATGCTAACTAGTCTCCAGCTGTCACAGACTAGTTTTTGATCCCATGAGGCAAGGGATCATTGATGTAACCCCAAACGTAACCCGCATTTTGCAAAGAGCGTGCTCAGATAATAGTTCTAGCTTAAAACTGTGCAAATTGGTTCATTTCCTTCTCTCAAGCAATAGTTTATTCCAGAAACGCACTGTTTACACTTTGAACGATAACTCCAGGCAATAACATACACAATAGGTGTAGAACCCAGCCCCATGCTCGGATATGAAAGCTGGCAATTAGTCAATATATACTTACAATACACTATAAGTGTTTTGGAACATTTCTTGTTTCCAAAAGAATTCATAGCAGTACATGTTACCATGGAACCGTTAAGACTTCTGGTTGCTACAAAAGTGGTCGTTGGTCCTTGAGACACTTTTTTATTTACAGTCCATGTATAATTTACCGCTGGAATACCGATTGCTGAACAGTTTAGGGCTACATTATCACCATCGTTGACAGTGTGAATTTTAGGCCCACAACTAGCATCCATTAGGTCTGTAAATAGATTTAAGATAAAAACAAATTCAGGAAAAATAGCATGTTGAAAGAATCATTTTTTTTTATAACTTCTGGAAAAAGTTATAAGTGCCCATGTGAGCATAGCTGCTTCAGAATTTCATTCAATAACATTATCAGGTATGACAACTTGTTGATTGTTGTCATATATATATACAATCATGTGCAAAAGACATAAAATTTAGACACTGAATCTCAAAACGTTCTTAGTTTGTCCACTATAATTAACAAACTTTTCAACTGAAAGTAAATGCTTTATTAGTAGAGAAGCTAGAGACACATGCATGTGTATCCTTTTATAGGGAGACACACTAGCCAATAGTACCTACAATGTTTGCATAATCATGACCTTTTACAAAAATTATAATTATATTGGACTTGAAAAGATTCTTTAATCACTACTAGTAAATAGGCAATTGAGCAGCGAAGCCAATTTGTGCAGCAAAGTATGATGGTAGTTGTAGTCCTTGTACTTTTCAAAGACCCTCCTTAAAAGCCGGTTTTACATTTTCTTTTCAAAAATGGCACAAATTCCTCTGTTTTCAGTTAAAAAAGCAAAAACTAGGTAGGAGGACTGTTTTAGCAGACATAAAAAGTGCGAGGACTACAACTACCATGATCCTTTGCTGCACAAAACGCATTGCTGCATGTTGCCTTTTGGAGGTTACATCATCATCACACTAGACATAGATACATCATGGACTGACACATTCATTAATTTGTACTTACAGTTAACTTGCAATGTGACATTGATACTTTCTCTCCCAATAGAATTGATGGCAGTACATGTGTACATCCCAGCATCATTTAAGGTAGCATTACTGATAATAATGGTATTATTGATTGAACTATGTAGCTGTTTGCCTTTGAAAATCCAGACATAATCAGGCTTTGGGTTTCCAGTGGCAGTACATGTGATGTTGACTGGTTGTCCTTTATTGACATACAAGAAACCACTCTCTGAGTTGACAACTGAGATCTGTTCTGGTTTATCTGATTAAACAAAATATCATTTTACTGTTTCGCCAAAAAAGTCAAAGATCAACCTGACGTCTACAACTACCTCCCAGAGCAAATTGTGTTTACAGTTGAGGAGGACCCTACTCACTTCCTCGACACTGCTTTTGAATATGTTGATGGAAAATTTGTCACGAAAGTATATTGCAAACCGGGAAAAGTCCCATTGGTCCTCTCAGGTTCCAAAACACTACAAGAGAAACTGTATTCTCGGAAATCTAAACCGTGCATAATGCATCGCATCAAATTTTGACAAAGAAAAGGAAAATATTTTGGACAAATATCTTAAAGCTGGCTTTCCGTACAAATTATTTACTAGTGCTTTTTTTTGCTTCCAAAATGAAATAACCAGTAAGAAGTTTATTCAAAAGCTAAATGCTTTCACTATTTATAGTCTTATGGCAAACAAGAAAAATCAGAAGTTTGTTTACCTTAAAAGACAAAAACATCCATCAATCTAATGTGGTTTACCATGGTACCTGCTCATGCGGTGAACAATACATTGGAGAAACATTACGAAACCTAGATATTCGTACAAGTGAACATTCCGATCACTCTCATACATCTGAGCCAGCTCGCCACCTCAAACGTAATCCTAATCACACATTTTCTTGGCATATTCTTTAATATAAAGAACAAAATGAACATCGTCGCAAAATATTTGAAGGTTTTCGCAATACAAAAATTTCAACCATCCCTCAACAAACAAATTAAGTGATTTATGGCCAAGCTTTTCCATAAGGGAATTACATAAAACCCTAGCAGTACACTTTTTAGTTTTATTCTGATGATGACTATTACTCGAAAACATTAAATATATATAATATATATATTTTTTCTTATTCTAAATATCTATATCCTTATTTTTATTATATAAAATATCATTAAGTTTTTTAATTAATAAAATACTAAAACTAGTAAACTCCTGTTGAAGTAAAAAAAATCATGAATTCAAAATAGAGTGGTTTCAATATATCCACAAGATGTTTTACAAACTACGTAATCAGGGGCGGATCTAGGGGGGGTGAATAGGGTGGCTAGCCACCCCCCATTTTTCTAAGCTCTTCTTCCCTTTTTTTCTCTTATCCCTCAAATGTTGAAATATTAATTGATTTCTCCAAAGACTGATTGATTCTACCTACTATTTGCAGAGCATTTATGGAACTCCATCCAAGGAGGATGATGGAACAATCACTTTTGGGGCAGTAAATAGCCTAGATGACATTAGTGGGTGTAATGTATATTCGTGTGTACACGGTAAACTCTCATTGTTCTTGATAAATACTAGTTTTAAACGTGAGAGATTATTTGCTTCAAGTGAGCATTGCGTACTAAATTCCGCTTAAATTTGTTCAATAAAGAGTTACTAAAAAGGCCCACAAAACGCTGCAAATCGCATGTCCGAGAGTCTGGATTTCAAAATTTCTCGGGGGGATGCCCCCCAACCCCCTAGGGGCTCCCGGCTTCGACGTTTGGCTTCCATTTTATTACGTTATTTTAGCAATTCACCCCCCACTTCAAAGTCCTGGATCCGCGCCTGGTAATATTATTTAGGCACATGAGTGTGAAATCCTTTGACATTCTACTCAATAATAATAATAATAATAATAATAATAATAATAATGTAATTTTTAAAGCGCTTATACAGCTCAGATCTAAGCGCTGAGAAATAAAAATATAGATAATTATGAAAAAATTACAGATAAAAAATTACAAATTACAAATAAATTACAAATTAAAGGCTAGTTTGAAAAAATAAGTTTTAAGGCATGATTTAAAAGAGTCAATGTCAGTAATGTTTCTAATAGAGGCAGGTAGAGAGTTCCATAATATGGGAGCAGCAACAGAAAACGAACGATAACCACAGGACTTTAGATTGTACGATTTTACAGACAGCAACACTTGAGATGACGAACGAAGTTTACGGGCAGGACGATATCTTTGAACGAGTTCTTGGATGTAAGTAGGAGCAGTAGAATACAAAGCTTTGAAGACCAGAAGAAGAATTTTAAACTTGATTCTAAACTMAACAGGTAGCCAGTGAAGGTTGATTAAAATAGGAGTGATATGGTTGTGTTTCTTGGAGAGAGATATAAGGCGAGCGGAAGCATTTTGCACAGATTGTAGACGATTAATTATAATGCTTTTTGGTAGACCATATAAAATAGAGTTGTAATTATCCAATTTAGAAGTGATGAAGGCATGTATGAGGATTTCAGTCGATTTTAGAGAGAGATATTTTCTGATTCGGGCAATGTTTCTTAAGTGGAAGAATGCAGTCTTGCATGTATTTTTTATATGAGGAACCATGGTTAGAGAAGAATCAAAAATAACACCAATGTTTCTAGCAGTTTTTGAAGGATATATTAGTTCAGAACCAAAAACAAGATTACGCGTGGAAGATTGAGGATTAGATTTTGGAGAAAAAATTAAGAATTCAGTTTTATCTTTGTTCAGCTTTAGTTTATTGATTGACATCCAGGAGTCAATGTCAGAGAGGCAATCATTTATTCTTTTCATGGCATCATCAAAGGACAAGTCATCATTGCAGGAGAATGGGACATATAACTGAGTGTCATCAGCATAGATATGATATGACATCATATGTTTACGAAGGATATCAGTAACAGGTGACGTGTAAAGAATGTACAAGAGAGGACCAAGAACAGAACCTTGTGGTACACCACAACCAAGAGGGAGAGAATGAGACTTGACACCATCAACAGAGACAAATTGAGTACGATCAGAAAGATACGATTTGAACCAGTTTAGAACAGAGCCACAAATACCAAATTTAGTGCRAAGACGCTGGAGAAGTATAGTATGATCGACAGTGTCAAAAGCAGCAGACAAATCAAGCAGCAACATGGCGACGCAATTTCGATTATCAAGGAAGAGAAGAATATCATTACAAACACGTAGAAGGGCAGTTTCACAGCTATGATGTCGCTTATATCCAGACTGAAAAGGTTCATGAAGTGAGTTGGCTGAGAGGTAGTTGTTTAGTTGAACTGCAACAACCTTYTCHATTACCTTGGAGACCATTTTTAAATTTGAAATTGGACGGTAATTTGCTAGAATTTCTTTATTTAAGGATGGCTTCTTTAACAATACTTACTCACATTGTACATTATACTGTTGTACTTAGCAGTAGGACATTCATCGCCATTACTGACAGTTAGTAACCCAGTACATTCTATACTCAATAATACTATACTCACATCGTACAGTTAGATATACTGTTGTACTAGCAGTAGGACATTCATATCACCATTACTGACAGTCACCCTGTACATTCTATACTCAATAATACTATACTTACTCACATTGTTCATTATACTGTTGTACTAGCAGTAGGACATTCATCGCCATTACTGACAGTAACCCAGTACATTCTATATACTCAATAATACTATACTCACATTGTACAGTTAGATATACTGTTCTACTAGCAGTAGGACATTCATCTCCATTACTGACAGACACTCTGTACATCCCAGCTTCACTTCTGCTGACAGAGGATATGTTGTATGTTTTGTTAGTTGAGACAATGGTGTTTTCGTTTCTTTTAACCCATGAAGTGTTCAGTGGCTGGCTGCCACTAGCATGACAAGTCCAAGACAAGGCATCACCTTCAGTTGATGTTTGGTTTTTACACTGAGTAATGGTTGGAGGATCTATTGGAGGATTAATTTTAAAATATAAAAAGCGAAAAAGGTTAATTTGTAGATTTAGGATTTCAATATTTCAATATGCTTCATTCTTATTTTCCCCTAATGTATAACACATAAATAAATATAATTTCACTAGCATCTGTTTGTCCACACATTCAAAACTGACTATCATTTTTACTTCAATATTTCAACTTAAAATGCGATAAGTTATTGCCTTCTTGAATGGATGTAGGTGAAAGACACTAGAGTGCTTGAGTAACTTACAGTATTTTATTTCCTTACCTCCATCTTATACAGCACTTGAGCTCAAAAAATTATTTCATATCATCTTAGTTTTGAAATCAGTTTACCTTTTACTGTAAGATTTAACAGAGAACTGTTTTGAGATGGTCCAACAATGTTTTCAGCTTGACAAGTGAATGTCTCTATTCCTGCTTTGTCCAGATTGATGGTAACCATTGCTTTTGCTTCTAAATTCTTCACTTCTCTGATTTTTTCATTATTCTTGTAAAATACTACAGTGGTGTTTGGTGGATTACCAGCTTTTGCAGTACAGGTTATATTAACAGTTTCATTGAGACAAGATGTTGTCTTTTCAACTTGAAGAGTAGGACTGCCAGGTGGACCTGAAAACAATGGATTGCATTTAATAGAAAGAGAAAGAAATTTTGGCACAATATGTAATACATAAATTAATATGAGCGGGAGACCTTTATGGGCATATAAAACTGAGAACTGCAAGAGAGCAGTTTTAGAGCCCATAAAGGTCTCACACTCATATTTCATATATCAAATTCCAAGATAAAAAAGCTATTTAATTAACCATAGATAGTTAGATAGATCATTTATTATATAAATTAAATACAAAGGCTGAATTACGTGCCTGGATACAATTTGTAATAAATAATAAAAAGATAATGGATGGGTGAGTCTTTTGTTTAACCTTCTCGTTTTGCCACAATAAAATTAGACTGTCAAGACGGTTTTCCGTCTCTAAAATGACTTCTGCTATGTTTTCACATACAAATGAAAAAGGCTCTTTCAAGCAATTTAAGCTTACTGAGACAATAAGATAAAAAAATTACGTTTCTTGAAACTGTAGTAACAGCTTTAATGACATGATACATTATTTCATTGAGGGCGGCCTTGCAAGCTTAGTAGATTCCATTAGTAGAAAGTTTGAAGTGTGCTGATTCGGCCGGATAAACTTCAGCGAAAGTTAACGAATACTTTCTATTCTTCAGTGAATCTTTTTTTTATTGATTGATACAAGGTTTTTATTTTTATGTTTTTCTAGACAAGTCGGTGGGAAAAAACCCGAAAGATTATATTGTTTTTTCTTGGATGCGAATCTTGAAGTTTTGAAGATGTTCGACTGTTTTTTCGAATCAAAGCTGAGTTCGCAGTCGTTCTTGTTTTTAGTATATAGTTGGCTTCTCTGCTTTCCAATTCAGTAAATTTTTCAATGGTTACAAATAATGAAAAAACCAGAGGGGGAGGGACATTACATAAAACTGACACCAAGATAGGGGGGCCCAAAGTTAAGTTACCTAATTAACAGAGGGGGGCATTAAGTTTTATTCAAAATTTTCATTGTTTTCTTTATCTTAAATTCAACGTAAATAACAACCATAATTGTAGAAAATGACAAAAACAACTTTAGGAAGCGTTCATTATTTTGCACCTGGAGGGGGGTGGGTGAATTTTGGGAGGGGTTATAGATTTTTGGCAGCCAGTTGAGGAGGGGTTATTACATTTCCCGGCTGAAAGAAGGAGGGGTTGTACTGATTCACTCGATTTACAAAAGTTACAAGTATGTGAACTTCTTATAATTTATCGCGCTTGCAATGACGAAAAACGCCTGMTTTGCCAGGCAACCTGATCTTAAGGTTATTTGGTCTTCATTTATATCATTTGGCTCCTCCTCTTCCTTCTCTGAAGTGTCGGTATCTAAGTCATTTAGTACAAAGTCTTCTTCCGAGTCTCAGATATTGTCATCATCATCCTTGCTGTCTTCTTCAACTTCAATTCAATTGCGTAGGTCTCCATAGCTGACATATGCGGCAGCCTGATTGCGAGCCTTTTCTGACTCATTCATAAGAACATGACTAGGTATACATGCTACTTTGTCAGAGATTTTACACCCACCAGCAGTTTAAAGTTGTCAAGTTATTGAGTTCATGCACCCTCAACTTTTTGATTTCCCCCATTCAGAGCAAGTGTTTTCCAGTCATAATGCTCAAATTTCTTTTGTTGCATTTTTTTGTTTTTGTTTTTCTGTTGCTCAGATCGCATCTCTGATTGGTGCTTAAGATCTTTCAGATGTTTAATGTAATCTTGTACTAAGCTAATCTCAACAGCAAATTTGTTAGCGAAATACTCAATATCGCTTTGGTACTCCAGTTTTCCGTTTTTCAAATTCCTTTTTTTTGACTCCTTGCAAACTCAGAGATAGATAATATTGAAAGATAGCATGTTTACACTCACAATTTTGCAGTTCATTCTTAAAGTTGCAGTTTGGCAATGTAATGAATATTGTTTTTGAGGCAGTTTTTATTGTGAAATATGGGGAATATATTTAGCTAAAACTCCCCAAATATTTTCTGAAATTTAAACATGGTTTACCTGTAAGTTAATAATTGACCACTCTCTAATGCAGAATACTACATATTTGAATGATTATATTGAAAGGAGGGGTTATCAGATTTAGTCCCACAGGACAGGAGGGGTCATTGAGAATGCTATATTCCGAAAAGAGGGGTTATACATTAAATGGTATTTGAGGCTACACAATCACACACCCCCTGCCTGGTGCTAAATAATGAACGCTCCCTAATAGCTGACAATTAATATGATATTTCTTTTTTAATTTTAAGAAGCTTTATCAACAACACTGATCATTAACTCGAAGATTGCGAAGCAATCAAAGAGTTATTGGAGGCGGACGAATCTGTCACTCACTCAATCACTCAATCACTTACTCACTCAGTCACTCACTTTCCTGTAAACTTGAGCCTGCGTTACTTGTGTTCAGAACTATTTATTTATTCTCATTGCTCTCTAGTAATTTACTCATTAAGTTACCGTTACCAGGTTCCCTCTTCTAGATTTGATTGAATTTATTTATTTTTTGGCAAAGAAAGAAATCTAAAGAAATGTCAGCTCCTCTGAGTCTTGAAGTTCTGACCTCGTCTAGACGAGCAATTTTTATGTGACAATTTTTAATTGCCCGTGTAGATGAGCAAAATTGGACACATTTTATGTGACAACTGTAGTTGCTGAAAAGCTGGCATGGTAGGTTTTATGTAATTGTTACATATCGATAATTTCCCGTGTGGACGAGCATCACATAAATGTGGCAATTATTTCGACGTCACACTGAATCCAAGTCTCAACATTTTGCACACCAACCAAGATGGYGACACYGATAGTAAGCAGAACAACTGGATTCGACAGAGAGAATGGTATTATTGTTGTTGCAAGAGCTAACACCAACTAAATTTGTTTTAATAAAACTTTAAAAAATATGGTATATTTTTCAATCTTAACATGTTTCAGCATGACATTATGCCATCCTCATTCTTCTGAAACATGTTAAGATTAAAAAAATATAAAAATAAAAATATATTTAAAAATATACTTAAAAAAATATATAAAAATATATTTAACAAATATATCGTATTATCTCTAGTCAACACGGACAAAAACACATGTCACATATAGTTGTCACATAAAAATTGCTTGTGTAGACGGGTCTTAGAAATCAAAGGCACTTCCATTCGGCCACACGTATAATTGCGGTTAGACTTGTCTTTGAAGTGCAGGTGCTCGCTCTTGGTTGTCAAGAATCAAAATTAAAAATAATTCGTTTTAGCGAAAAAGAAAACTGTATTCATAAATCGTTCACATTAAAATTCTATTTGTAAAGTAAATCATAATTTGATTCGTCTTACCGTTCAGTCACAAAGGTTGAAGCAAGCAAAGAAGACGATCCTCCAAATTCGTCGYTTTGAAAATGATTGTACGAAAGTGCTGGCCCGTGCTTATCAAGAACCCAAGTTAATATCTCTTGATATTTCATTTTAGAGGATGTTAAAATACTTATATCCCTCCTTTGACGCACAGAACACAAAAGACTTGGTTGAGGAAAACTAGTTTCGACTTTACTAAATCTTTTCAATTCCCAACAGTTGTAGATTGAGGAATTGAAAAACTCTAGTAAAGACGAAACTAGTTTTCCTCAACCAATTCTTGTGTGTTCTGTGCGTCAAAGGAGGGATAACAGTTGTTTGACATCTTCTAAAATCAAGTTAATATTCTTGCACTCCTTATACATCAACATTCAAAGACTATCTGAATTCAATTTGAAAGTGTTTTTTGCATAATACAGGCATGTGTTACAGGCATCTGTAACACATCTGTTGCTTCTAGATACAAATCCAAAATTTCAATGCATACTGACTTGAACAGTTTCTTTGTTATCTAGGTTTGAACATAAATGTACCAAAATTGTTTTTTGACACACTAAAACCAAGACTTTCAATGAAACATCTTTTGTCTATTGACCGTATCAATTAATCGTTGATACGTTTAAACCACAAATTCTTTGATGATCCAATTAAAGTAAATATCTATTTGGCTGTTTGTTGAAGTTTATATTGATTGATTTAATTGGACATTGATTGCTATTATTGGTTTTTGACACTTTCGGTGATTTTTTTGCGTCTTTCTTTGCCAGATGTAGCGCTACTAGAGGTGGCAGCATTTACCCAAAGATCGCAAATTTTACATATTTGTGGCTAAAACAAAAGTTAAACTTAGTAGTTTTTGGGTAATTTCATCAGTAATGAATGTGGAGAAATGAAGCCATAATAACATTAAGCCATTTCAAACTGGAAAATGCCATGTCAAAATGGAAAATCCTGAGACAGAAATGATCCCGAAACTATCTCGGGATTGTTTCTTATTTCATCCAATCAAATTAGACCATTTTGAGAGGATGTTTGCTTATCAGAAACTATTTCCGATTTTGACCAATCACAGATCATTGATATCTGATACAGAGAAACAATTTCTGCTCTTAGCCAATCATGGCAATGATGCCTGGTTTCCATCTGTCATTATTGCTGTGTTAATGTCTGATAACAGGAGTACTACTTGTACTCACAAGAAAGTATGAGCAGAATATCTGTTTTGAAAGAAAAGAAATAGGATGATTTTATTTGGCTCAGTTGTTGGCTTATATG